CAAAGTCGGTCTTCCGTGTTTAACTTTAAAACTCCAGCTGTCACTCTGGATAAAGAGGGTGCTTCAGACCATTCCGCCTGAAGGTCTTGAACTCAGACCCATCGGAACCACAACGCATGTCTTTACGCAGTGCGCCAACCGAGCACGCACCAATCAAACTGCTCGAACTCCTAAAAGTACCTCAAAGTCGGTCTTCCGTGTTTAACTTCAAAACTCCAGCTATCACTCTGGATAAAGAGGGTGCTTCGGACCATTCCGCCTGCAGGTCTTTGAACTCAGACCCATCGGAACCGCAACGCATGTCTTTACGCAGTGCACCAAACGAGCACTCACCCATCAAGCCGCTCGAACTCCTAAAAGTACCTCAAAGTCGATCTTCCGTGTTTAACTTCAAAACTCCAGCTATCACTCTGGATAAAGAGGGTGCTTCGGACCGTTCCTCACCCGGGTCTTGAACTCGGACCCATCGGAACCGCAACGCATGTCTTTACGCAGTGCGCCAACCGACTCACCCATCAAGCCGCTCGAACTCTAAAAAGTACCTCAAAGTCGGTCTTCCGTGTTTAAATTTAAAACTCCAGCTGTCACTCTGGATAAAGAGGGTGATTCGGACCATTCCGCCTGTAGGTCTTGAACTCAGACCCATCAGAACCGCAACTCATGTCTTTACGCAGTGCGCCAACCGAGCACTCAACCATCAAGCCGCTCGAACTCCTAAAAGTACCTCAAAGTCGGTCTTTCGTGTTTAACTTTAGAAATCAGCTGTCACTCTGGATAAAGAGGGTGCTTCGGACCATTCCGCCTGCAGGTCTTGAACTCAGGCCCATCGGAACCGCAACGCATGTCTTTACGCAGTGCGCCAACCGAGCACTCACCCATCAAACCGCTCGAACTCCTAAAAGTACCTCAAAGTCGATCTTCCGTGTTTAACTTCAAAACTCCAGCTGTCACTCTGGATAAAGAGGGTGCTTCCGTCCGTTCCGCACCCGGGTCTTGAAGTCAGACCCATCGGAACCGCAACACATGTCTTTACGCAGTGCGCCAACCGAGCACTCACACATCAAGCCGCTCGAACTCCTAAAAGTACCTCAAAGTCGGTCTTCCGTGTTAACTTTAAAACTCCAGCTATCACTCTGGATAAAGAGGGTGCTTCAGACCATTCCGCCTGAAGGTCTTGAACTCAGACCCATCGGAACCACAACGCATGTCTTTACGCAGTGCGCCAACCGAGCACTCACCAATCAAACTGCTCGAACTCCTAAAAGTACCTCAAAGTCGGTCTTCCGTGTTTAACTTCAAAACTCCAGCTATCACTCTGGATAAAGAGGGTGCTTCGGACCATTCCACCTGCAGGTCTTGAACTCAGACCCATCGAAACCGCAACGCATGTCTTTACGCAGTGCGCCAACCGAGCACTCACCCATCAAACTGCTCGAACTCCTAAAAGTACGTCAAAGTCGATCTTCCGTGTTTAACTTCAAAACTCCAGCTGTCACTCTGGATAAAGAGGGTGCTTCCGTCCGTTCCGCACCGGGTCTTGAAGTCAGACCCATCGGAACCGCAACACATGTCTTTACGCAGTGCGCCAACCGAGCACTCACACATCAAGCCGCTCGAACTCCTAAAAGTACCTCAAAGTCGGTCTTCCGTGTTTAACTTTAAAACTCCAGCTGTCACTCTGGATAAAGAGGGTGCTTCAGACCATTCCGCCTGAAGGTCTTGAACTCAGACCCATCGGAACCACAACGCATGTCTTTACGCAGTGCGCCAACCGAGCACGCACCAATCAAACTGCTCGAACTCCTAAAAGTACCTCAAAGTCGGTCTTCCGTGTTTAACTTCAAAACTCCAGCTATCACTCTGGATAAAGAGGGTGCTTCGGACCATTCCGCCTGCAGGTCTTTGAACTCAGACCCATCGGAACCGCAACGCATGTCTTTACGCAGTGCACCAACCGAGCACTCACCCATCAAGCCGCTCGAACTCCTAAAAGTACCTCAAAGTCGATCTTCCGTGTTTAACTTCAAAACTCCAGCTATCACTCTGGATAAAGAGGGTGCTTCGGACCGTTCCTCACCCGGGTCTTGAACTCGGACCCATCGGAAACGCAACGCATGTCTTTACGCAGTGCGCCAACCGAGCACTCACCCATCAAGCCGCTCGAACTCCTAAAAGTACCTCAAAGTCGGTCTTCCGTGTTTAAATTTAAAACTCAGCTGTCACTCTGGATAAAGAGGGTGATTCGGACCATTCCGCCTGTAGGTCTTGAACTCAGACCATCAGAACCGCAACTCATGTCTTTACGCAGTGCGCCAACCGAGCACTCAACCATCAAGCCGCTCGAACTCCTAAAAGTACCTCAAAGTCGGTCTTTCGTGTTTAACTTTAGAAATCCAGCTGTCACTCTGGATAAAGAGGGTGCTTCGGACCATTCCGCCTGCAGGTCTTGAACTCAGGCCCATCGGAACCGCAACGCATGTCTTTACGCAGTGCGCCAACCGAGCACTCACCATCAAACCGCTCGAACTCCTAAAAGTACCTCAAAGTCGATCTTCCGTGTTTAACTTCAAAACTCCAGCTGTCACTCTGGATAAAGAGGGTGCTTCCGTCCGTTCCGCACCCGGGTCTTGAAGTCAGACCCATCGGAACCGCAACACATGTCTTTACGCAGTGCGCCAACCGAGCACTCACACATCAAGCCGCTCGAACTCCTAAAAGTACCTCAAAGTCGGTCTTCCGTGTTTAACTTTAAAACTCCAGCTATCACTCTGGATAAAGAGGGTGCTTCAGACCATTCCGCCTGAAGGTCTTGAACTCAGACCCATCGGAACCACAACGCATGTCTTTACGCAGTGCGCCAACCGAGCACTCACCAATCAAACTGCTCGAACTCCTAAAAGTACCTCAAAGTCGGTCTTCCGTGTTTAACTTCAAAACTCCAGCTATCACTCTGGATAAAGAGGGTGCTTCGGACCATTCCACCTGCAGGTCTTGAACTCAGACCCATCGAAACCGCAACGCATGTCTTTACGCAGTGCGCCAACCGAGCACTCACCCATCAAACTGCTCGAACTCCTAAAAGTACGTCAAAGTCGATCTTCCGTGTTTAACTTCAAAACTCCAGCTGTCACTCTGGATAAAGAGGGTGCTTCCGTCCGTTCCGCACCCGGGGTCTTGAATCAGACCATCGGAACCGCAACACATGTCTTTACGCAGTGCGCCAACCGAGCACTCACACATCAAGCCGCTCGAACTCCTAAAAGTACCTCAAAGTCGGTCTTCCGTGTTTAACTTTAAAACTCCAGCTGTCACTCTGGATAAAGAGGGTGCTTCAGACCATTCCGCCTGAAGGTCTTGAACTCAGACCCATCGGAACCACAACGCATGTCTTTACGCAGTGCGCCAACCGAGCACGCACCAATCAAACTGCTCGAACTCCTAAAAGTACCTCAAAGTCGGTCTTCCGTGTTTAACTTCAAAACTCCAGCTATCACTCTGGATAAAGAGGGTGCTTCGGACCATTCCGCCTGCAGGTCTTTGAACTCAGACCCATCGGAACCGCAACGCATGTCTTTACGCAGTGCACCAACCGAGCACTCACCCATCAAGCCGCTCGAACTCCTAAAAGTACCTCAAAGTCGATCTTCCGTGTTTAACTTCAAAACTCCAGCTATCACTCTGGATAAAGAGGGTGCTTCGGACCGTTCCTCACCCGGGTCTTGAACTCGGACCCATCGGAAACGCAACGCATGTCTTTACGCAGTGCGCCAACCGAGCACTCACCCATCAAGCCGCTCGAACTCCTAAAAGTACCTCAAAGTCGGTCTTCCGTGTTTAAATTTAAAACTCCAGCTGTCACTCTGGATAAAGAGGGTGATTCGGACCATTCCGCCTGTAGGTCTTGAACTCAGACCCATCAGAACCGCAACTCATGTCTTTACGCAGTGCGCCAACCGAGCACTCAACCATCAAGCCGCTCGAACTCCTAAAAGTACCTCAAAGTCGGTCTTTCGTGTTTAACTTTAGAAATCCAGCTGTCACTCTGGATAAAGAGGGTGCTTCGGACCATTCCGCCTGCAGGTCTTGAACTCAGGCCCATCGGAACCGCAACGCATGTCTTTACGCAGTGCGCCAACCGAGCACTCACCCATCAAGCAGCTCGAACTCCTAAAAGTACCTCAAAGTCGGTCTTCCGAGTTTGAGTCCCTCAGAGGGCCTCTCAGGGCCTGAGAGTCCCTCAGAGGGCCTCTCAGGGCCTGAGAGTCCCTCAAACACATCAGCTACATCTTAACTTTATGGCTCATTTTATTCTTTAATCCTAAATGCATTTCAGAAAGACGGCATTTTATGTGTCTTCAGATGAGGCTAAGCATTTTAATGTATCGCCCTCTAGTGGCTGACGGAGTACCATGCCTTTGCTGAAGTTGAAAATATTTATTTGCGCTCAAATAAATTCCAAATTAAGCACATAGTATTTTCAATATAGCACGAAGAGTACTTTCTGATTTATATATATGCAAAATCAAGGTTAAATTCACATTTTGTAGACTCCCTCCTTTTGAATTGTGTGTTTTTAACTAATTGAACTTGTAATATGAGGAGAAAGTATAACTTCGGAGGTTTTGTTTTAGTTGTTCCACTAATTTTTGATGAAAAAGTTAGGAAATTGAGTGATAAATGGCAACCTAGTTTGGTATTGAAACACTTTAGTCTTTTTTTTTTTTTAAATAATCAGGAACCAAGGCCCAAAAAGTGCAGAGAAACAAACTTGATTAAAAAGGAAATAAAAAAAATTCAACACTTAACATAAAACATGTAATTAATAGTATAACTTCACACAAAAAATATTCCAATAAAGGTTAAAATACAGCAGAGTGTGACGTCAGTTTGGATTTAACAGCAAAAATATTTACAGATTGAAAATTTCCCCTGGATTTAAAGCAACAATCGGCCTGGTTTGATGTCAAAAAACTGCTTATAAGAAACACAAAAAACACCAGTAAGGCTTTAATTTTTTTATTCCATGCAGACTTTCACATCATTTTCAATCAAAGAATATGGAGGCAATAAAGGGGGAAAAATACCACTTTGTCTTGACAAGAAATTGTATATTAGAACCGATTTGTCTTTTAAAACTGCTAGTTAGAAAAATGACCAATTTAAGCATTTATAGATGTTTTAATTTTGTTAAAATCACTTATTTTGAATTCAAATCCATTCAAGTCGATGTTTTAACTTGTAAAAACAACCATTTCTCTGACTAATTTTCACAATTATTCTGGGACATAAAAGATTCAAATTCTCAAAGCCCCTTTTTCCTTCCATAAACTAAACCCAGTGTTTGATATAAGAATAAATCAGGGTTAATTTACCCTTTAAATAAAACTCTAAATGTTATAAATTGTTCCCTGAATTGGGAAGAGGCCTCTGGTATCATTTTGCTCCTGGCAACAAGACAAAAATATCTTTGGTTATAACAAAAAAAGACAAAAAAACAGCAGAAAGAATAAATCTATCAGACGAGCAATGCATATTTGACACAGATTTAAGAAAATAGCTGCAGTAAATGACCGCCAGAGGGCGTCATTGTACAGCAGTCCCTGCAGCACTATCAGCATGACGTCATTCAGCGTCAGCAGAGAAAAAACATCAGCCATCACAAATCCTTATTGATTGTCTTAATACTCCTTTAAAGACTGATTGTGTTTTTTAAAAACAAATTCAAACAAAAAGCTCCCAAAAGTGGATCATTCTTACAATAAAACATTTCAGTGAAACTTTTTGCACCTTCTTTTTCTTAGGATTTGCTTTCCTGTTCTCACTTCCTGTTTCCCTCTGGATTATCTCAGCTTGATAAAAGGAGGTCAGAGCTGGACATTTCAACTTGACATTTAACACAATCTTCCTTGTAAACATCTCATATTTCATTCCTACTTCCTCAAACTCACTCAGTCGACTTCCAGAAACTATTTGCATCTCATCACTTTTTTCTCCACAAACTAGATTCGCCTACTGTCACTGAACTTAACAAATATTTCTACTAAATCTAACTTGACAAGAATATGACATTTTCTGCTAAAATATGTTTCAATTCAGTACCCAGTGCTTAGATTGAGCTGTACCAGTTTGGAGGCCCATTCCTGCCAGTGCAAAGAAAATAAAATGGCGTGCTTACTGTCAGTAAAGCGTACAACTTGAAATAATAAAAAAGAACCTCAATTATGTCATAATTATGAGTTTCCAGCTGTAAAACTCAGTATTATGACTAAAGCTCACAATTTCGACTTTATATCCTATAATTACAAGGTTAAAAATGAAGATTATAACCAACACTTAACCGTATTTGATGTCATAATTTTGTGACAGAACATCAAAAATAGGAATCTGAACGTTAAATTAAGACTTAACCACTCACAATTGACACAAAAATATTTTGCTTTGCAAAGGCAGCAATGTGCTTCCATACATTTGCTTTATGAAGCGTCAAACTGGTTATGGAGCCCAAAATGTGCCAAAAACCAATGTTAAGTACAACTGACTCAATTACATTTTAGGAGGCTCCAAATGCAAACCTGTAATATTATTAATATTTCAAAATCTAAAACTATAAACAGTAAGTATTAGAAGTCAAAAAAGTGATAAACGTCTGAGAAAAACATATTTATATTCCATAACTTTTCAGATTTTTTGTCCAAGAAATACGCTACATAAAACAATGATTTCTTCAAAAACAAAATATTTAATAATCATTAATAGTGATGACTTATCTTAATATTATAGCTAACTAAATTATATATGGAAATTAATGTTTTTAAAAAGTGGTCAGACTCTAACATCATGCCAAAATTCAAAGAAAAAGACAAAAATGACTTCAACATAATATTGTACTAAAAAAATAAATGTAAAAAAAATTCAAAAGTTTTATATCAAAATGTTGATCTTGGATTTTTGTTTTTTTGAAAAATAATAAAACATAAAACCATTTCAAGACATTTAATATAAACTACTTTAGGTAAAATAAAAATATACATTTTTGAGTTTGGCACATCTGGGACTCCATACTTTTTGTGAAAAACGACTTTTTGTAGAAATACTTCTCCTTTTCCAGCTACATCCAGTTTACCCTTCTTATTTCCTCAGAGTTTTTGTTTAATTGCAAGCATCTAATTCACTCATCATCTAGTAAAAGCCCTGATAAACTATTCTCTGTCTGTGTCAAAAACACATTTGTTTCTTCCTCGAAACAAAACAAAATAAGACTCGCTTTTCAAAAAAAAGGAGAAAAAAAGATAAAGCTTTCCCCATATAAATTAAGAAATAATATTTACAAACCTTTAAGACAAAGGCATTAAATTAAAAAAAAATACAACCTCAAGTCTTTCACCAGTTGAAACAAAGTGAAAGAAACAAAAAGGAATCAAGATAAATTATGTGACAGCAGAAGAAAAAACAACGAAGGATGGTTGAGAGGAAATAATGTGGCACATGAATGGATCTTTGGCGAGTGAAGGAAGTCTAAAAGTTCATTTACTTTCTTATTTGTCCTTCTTGTCTTTTATCCAAACCATCCCTCCGTCCAGGTGCTGGTTCCCTCCGTATTAACAGCCGCCCCTCCACCAACACGTTCACCTCTGAGGAGATTAACGACAGAAAAACGACATCCGTTTGGTTTGATGGAGGGTAAATCCTCTACGAAGGCGATCCGACCGCCATCATGGCCTCCTGCAGTCTCTGGCGACAGACTTCATAGCGGCGAATGATCGCTTCCTTCTGCTCCTGCTCCTCTTTGTCAAGTATCCGGAGAAAGTTTCGCAGCTCTGGGATGGAGAAGGCGTCCCACTGGAGAGGAAAACACAGAAATTTATGTTTCTACAGAAACGCTGCAAAGACTCAAAGTGTTTCAAAGTGATTTTGTGATGGACAACAACAAAGATGTAGAAAACTGCTAAGGAAAAAGAAGGTTATGAAAATCTGAAAAGTGAGGCGTACACATTTTTTAAAGTTGACCTTTTGTTCTTACTTGAACAGGTTAGGTTAGGTCTATGGGCGATACAAAACATCTACATTTTTTTGGACATTATTCTTAGATGATGAGATTTTACTCTGCTCAGTTCTGCCTTTTTAGGGTGTCTTGTCACTTTAAACCCTAATAAGCTGCTTCTGGCCACTCCCCTCCAAACTCAAAGTTAAAATCCACACGTAAAAGTTGCTGCAGAAAATCATACCTCTTTGAAAAGCAGAAGTAGAGCCTCCTGCACGAGAAGCAATAATACAGAAAGTGGTTTCTGATAACTCTCCCAGCAGCCATTGTACACCGCATACAAGGGGAAAACCAGCTGTCCTAACATGCTCTAACTCAGCTTGGGTTGCTAGTAATGGGCTGAGCTTGCCTGGAGTTGCTAGATAATGATGCAGTGCCCATGGAATGTGACTTAACAATTGTGAGGTTTTTGAAATGACTCATTTTCCAGACATCAAAAAACAAACTTTTTGCCTCCCAAAAAAGCTAAAATATATATTTTTTATGCGCTTGGGTTGTATTTATAATAAGCAAATGGAAATATTAGAAAAGCCTAAGAGGTTCCCTTTAAGGTTGAAATGAAAGAAGAACAGGAAAGAACTCAGAGGACGACTGGGAAGAACAAGAAAACAAAGTGGGAACTGATTTGGGAAGAGTCCAGCTGGTCGCACCATAACTTCTCCGGTCTGTTGTTCTCTGAGAACGAAGCTAAGCGTGTCGAGGTCGGGTCCGGCCACCAGGCGAAGGAACAGCGGCTTCTCAACGTCCGCCAGCTTGCACACATACACTGCAACACACAGGGGGGTAAACGTCAACACACATCCATACAGGTGCTATGGTATAAACTCACCTGGATGGGTGTGGCACTTTAACAACCACCAACTCTTTGAGAAACCGGGGTCAAAGTTCAACATCCAACTGAAATGTTAGAACCTTGAATCATTCTCATTTGCTAATTCCTAAAACAATTGGTTATTCAGAAGCTTAAATATAGTAAAATGACATTTAAAAAATGTGATGTAATTTTCCTTAAAGTTTTTGATTCACGACATCAGAGTTAATCAGAGCCACACCTCAGGATTTATTTAACGACAGAACTTCAAACACATTGTCTCGTCATGGGAAAATAAACAGAAATAAGCCAAGATATTAGACATCAGTTCTGGTTCTAGTGACATTTAGATGCCTCAAGATAACACATTGCAAAAACAAAAAATCTTAAAAGTCTGTTTGTCTAGTTTCTACTGCAAATATCTTAGATTAGTTGAAATTAGACAAAACACGCGAACAAGTACGGTTTAAGCAAGATATATGAGCTTAATTGAATATTGATGAAAAAGTTCTAGTTCCATCTGCAGATTATTTCCCTTATGAAACTTTTTCCCATGTGGAAAGTAAAACTAGAGGAACTAGTACTTTTTAAATCAATATTAACGCGTTCTTTATATGAAACAAGCTTTTATTTCCTTATAAAGTTGCTTAGTTTTGTCTTGTTTCAAGTGTACTAAGATATCTGCACTAGAAACTAGAAAAATACTTGGTAGGATTTGGTGTTTTCACAGTTTACTTTGATTTGTTCAATCAAGAAAAATTGTATGACCCAGTTACACCGATTCAGTCAGGAAGAATGGTTCAAAATTACATAAAATTATTGAGATGATGGTCGAAAGGAATTCAAAAAGTTCAACTCATTTCATAGCTGAAAAATTATCCTAAAATAGAAATTTAGCTCGATTTAAAACCAGACAGCGAGGAAAAATATATATGTATATTTGGAAATTAAGCATTTATTACTAAAACATTCCTCCATTTCTTGCCCACAACACAGTAAAAATGTTGACTTTCTAATTAAAAGTCAAATTGAAGCCTTTAAATTTTACATACATCTCTGTCTAGACACAGCCTTTAATTAGCAGACACGGTTTCACTCCAGCAATTATCGCAAACCAACTCAGGAGGGGCAAAAAAGAAACTCCACAAATCCATATAAATATTCTCCTGATAAATAACTGAAGATAAACATTTTAAAGCTCATTTTGGAGGTTTGTGGGTGATAAAGCGTCTTCTCAGTCTGAGCTGTCAACTCGACTCAAACAGAGGTGAAATCCTACACCAAGTGTGTGTGTAGTATTTATACACAGTGTGTGTGTGTGTATTCCTGGGTATCCCTGGTGTGTTGTCGCAGCTGGGTGAACCCTGTGGTATTCAACACGAGGGCGAGGCTTCCACACATCAGAGCTCAAGCAACTGATACTGCCTGGCATGATCAGCATGAAACTGCATCTGCGAAACGGTGAGGAAGACTCACCCTGCTCGTCTCTACGGCAACGCTTGTACAGCGCGTACTTGGCCGGGTTGTCTGCCACCGTGAACTTGTTCAGCAGCGCCATGATCACCTGAACGCACAAAAACGAAAAGTTACTCATAAACACTAAACTACAAAGATTTTACAACTTTAGGTGAAATTGTGGATTTATTTAGGGAAACTCTCCTAAAGATTTTCCATCTTAAATGTTCAGATTTTACGAGCTTAAAATATTTGTTTATTAGCTTCTTTTAGTATATTTCTAGAATTGCATAAAAGGTTCAAGAGGTTATGTAACAAAAATTGAAGAATATGCAAATTTTTAATCAGTTTAATCAATTAATTGTCAGCATAATTGATTATTTTAAAAAAAAAACACACATTTTGGATGTAAAATAAGGAAAAACCTTATGTTTTACCAAAACCTCCTCAAGAAGTTTTAGCTTCACCAGATTTAAATTACTGTAAAAAAAAAAAAAAAAAAAAAAACTCCTTTTAAGCACCTTTTGATATCAAATTATGAATTGGTGAATCAGAAACTTGTCAAGTGAAGAGCCCTACAGTTTATTAACGTTATTAAATTTATTCTTGAATTGTGGTTAGGAGGCCGCAAGAAATCAGTCCAGGAGCCACAAAAGGCCCCCAGGCCCTAATTTGAGCATCCAAATTATCAGATCTGTAAAATTTTTGAACCATTTAGAGTTTTGTTGCCTTTCATTTGGGCTAAAGTGAAATATAAGAAGCAACTTTCTGTTTTGTTTTTCTGACCTTGACTTCATCTCGTTTGTCATCAGATCCTCATTAAACCTCGCATGTGGCTGTGAGCTGAAAAGTGCGTCTGTGTGTGTTTCCCACCTGCTTGACTGTGTTTTCGGAGCTGATGTGGAGAGTGTTGATGACTCCTCGCGGTAGATAGAAGGCTTCTCCCATCGTGGCTCCTCCCGCTGCCCTCTGACCTCCACGCACCGTCACCGGCCGCCTCAGATCCATCATGACCTTGACGAAACCAGTGTACACACCAGTAGGGTTCTGAAAGATGGACAGTTGCAACATCAGCTCAAAACTGCAGGCACGAGTCCCGGGAGTTTGTCATTCAAGATAAAAAAGGAGAGTAGAGATAAAAATCAGAAAAAAAGAGCAAAGACAAAATAAGGTGTGGCAACAAACCGCTCTGGTGTCGGTGAATATTTTGTTACGGGACTGAAAAGTATCTGGTCCGAGTTGTTTATGAATCGCCTCAACATTTACAGGAAGCAAGGAGCTACAAACCATGAGGATCTGCTGGTTTTCTGTTCAAATTGTTAGAAATAGGGATGCAACTAATAATTATTCTAATTATCAATTATTGTATTCTTTATTCTGACGATTAATTGGATAAAAATAATAAGCAGATTTAATTTAACCTGAAGCTTTTTATATAAAATTAAAAGTATTATTATGATAATCAATTGGTAAATTATTTCAATAATTGATTAATCACAATTAATCCAATTAACCGTTTCAGCCCTAGTTAGAAAAAATGAAAAAAACTGCAGCTTCAGTGAAAAAAAAAAAAACTGAAAACATTTATAGATTTTTATTCCATGCAGCTAAATATTTAATCTGAACTCCAAATGTTTTACTTCACAGAAGGCTGAGGCAAAACTCTTTATGAAAGTTTGCACCACCATTTTAGCAGTGAGCACAACTTCAAACATCTGTCAGTGCCAAGGGAAACACTGTAGGGGAGAACAATAGCAGGAATAACATCACGGTCTGATGTGAGTGTTCGGGAATGCAGGGAGCAGGAGAGAACCGGCCTTAATGCTGAAATTCTAGCAACAACCTGGAACCTCGAGTGTGAACTGTTGTTACCTTCTGCACAATCCACATGTTCTGAATCAAAAGATACCACCGTTTAGCAGCAGAACTGAAAGTTTTCAGCACTAATTTAACTCCTTAAACAGGTTGGGATAGGTCTGTGGCCCAAATAAAACATGTTCAATATTTACAGAAAATCTTCCTTAGATGAGATTTTGAACGGTAAAACGCTCGTCTTATCCAGCAGCCATGTAATTATGTAATTGTGGCTGTTTTAGAAGCAGCTGAGACCCAAATAGCAGCATAAAATCAAAATACTCCTTCTGAAAGCCTCTCAATATTTTTGTAGTGCTGGTTATTTATTTTACATCTGCCATTACACTCCTAATTATGCTGACTGAAAAATTAAAGTTGTTTTTACATGTTTGATCAAGATTGTGAAGCTATTGGTGTGTAGTTCAGCATCATACGGTAAGGTATCCACTCACCAGAGTCATTTTAAGGTAGTCTCTGGTCAGAGAGTTGTACTGGTCAATTTTCTGCTGGATTTCTTCCCTGCTGAACTCCGTCCGTACTTCTCGTTCCTTCTCCACATCCTTCAAGAGACGGGAAATAAAATAAAAACGTGAAGAGATATACCAAATCAATCTATTCAGACAACAATAACAAGACCATCTAAATGACTTATAAAAGGTTTTGTTCAGTTCAAATATTACACAAAACACTCAATGAGTCATTTGAGTTTTTCTTGCATTAGAGGCAACATGTGAAGGGCCTTCCTGCTTCAGGGTCAACCCATGATCTCTTAAAAATCAGCCCCATGCTAGGAGACTGACTGCTAATTTTAGCATGTTCATAGGAATAAGACTGGAAATAAACACAAGCCTAAAGAATTCTTTAGTTTGATTAAAAGCTCACTTCCAAACAAGACACAGATGTAGTCTGTGACTCAAAAAACACACAAAACATAACTATGGTCACATGTCGCAGGCGACTGTGTTGTAGTTGTAAATACGCAGCGCTCTGACCTCAGAGGTCATTAAATGTTTTATTACATAGCCAACATGACTCCAAAGAGCTCAGATATTCATAAAAACAAGTCATAAAGTGCCGCTAAAACTTCAGCATCAATAAATCTTCATAAAAAAATAAGTATATTTACTTTGTTTTGAACTTTTGGAGCGTAAATGGGGATATGACTCTTTAAAAACAATTAACTGACTGAGCGCAATGTTGACAGAAATTGGCTACAGTCCTTAAAATTAGGTAATTGGATGCATACGGCCTTTAACTGCTTCATTTCTTTTAACCAGTAGAGGTTTTCAGGCCTAAAAATCAACAAACTCAAACGTTTAAAACTCAATAAAATCATTCAAAGAAACTAACAGCATGTAAATCCCAGTGCAAACTCTTTATCTTTCTCTGGTGTATCCTGTGCTTAAATGGGCATAGTGCAGCTCCCCTCTGCATCTATTAAAAACCACACACACAGATATATACACACACACACACTGCAGAATCCAGTAAGCCTCTGAAGCACGTACACCCTTATATGGAAAACACACACAATGCTGCAGGAAGAACCAGGGTGCCAATGTAACAAGTGTAACGAGTCAAAAGGTTTATGGCTCTGAGAAAATCCCAGTCTCTTTAAAAACATTAAAACAATATAAACTGAGAAATCTGAAAAAATACAAACTTCAGTCTAGTTCGTATCAGAACATATACAATTCTTCTGAGTGAAGCAATCAGAAGATATGACACTGAGCTACAAAAAGCTGCAGCAGCGATTTATTAAAAACCAATCAATAAATTTATTAAATAATTTTTGAAAAACCTAAATTATTGTTTCAGACCTGATCAGCAGTACAATAAAAAAATTTCCAACTTATTCATGATTTTATTCTTTTGCAATGGAAACCTAAAATACAAATAAGCTTGCATTTTTTTTCTCCATCTAACAGTTTGTAGGTCTTTATTTTTCTTGTACAAGCACTTTGAATTGTCTTAGGCTGATAGGTGCTATATAAAGTTGCCTTGCCTTGCCTTATTCAAGTCTTATATTCTGCTTAAGAACTTGAAATACTTAAAAAAAAATGTGGAAAACTTTTTATCTATTTTTTATGATTCAGAACCACTGAATGCTGCAATAACATTCATCAAAAACACAAACATTACTTCAAAAAAGTTTAATATTTAATCAAATCTAGTCAGCGATTCATTGGGATTAAAGAAGGAAGACAGACATGACGACATCAACGTATCTGATTCATCAGATGTTTAACAATAGAACCAGAGGCAGAATAAGATCAATCAGCTTGAAAGATTTATTCATTGATTCTAAATCTGTCTGGTCAAACTGTTTATTTTTTCCCCATCATGGTTTAATCTCACCTCTAAGCTGTGACCGGGTTTAATGAGACAAATCTGATCACCAGGAAGTGGCAGGTAAAGCTGATTATGCGCCTCATGAGGAAAGGGAAAGTTCAACAAGCAGCTAAGCAGTTGGGCCTTTATGTCATCTTATTATAGTGGAGGAATGAGGGCGACTTAAAGGGGCTCTATTATGAAAAATTCGTAATAGACACACATATATATACACACACAAGTATAAAACATTTTATATGTTTCATACTTCCATTTGAGTCTCTACTGCTTCTAAAATCAACCCAAGTGCTTCAACAAAACGGCTAGCCGTTGTTTTGGCAACAAGTTCATGTTTTTTGGTGTCAATTATACAATTCTTCATCTTTGAAAAGCAGAAGTGGAACCTCCTGCACAACTAACAAGAGCGCAGGAAGTGGTTTCTGGATGGTAAGTCAACAACAAACCCTGTCTTTTCCAGCAGCCATTATACAGCAGTCAAACTGCAGCACAAACATGCGGGATGGGTTGCTAGGTGACAGTGCCTGCTGATTTGTGACGTTACGTTCTGGAGGTTTTGGAGACGCCTCATTTTTCAGGCACCAGAAAACACTCAAATTAAAAATGATTTTGTTTTAAGTGCTCGGATTGCTTTTAGAAGAAAAAAGTATTTGCATGTTTTGAAATTCTCCAAATTGCAGTAAAACAAACCTTGTTGTATTGAAATTTCATGTGGTAGGCCAACAAAATGTGCACAACAGTGAAGTTGTTTATGTGATTTTAGGCTTTTATTTATTTTTCTACAAGTAAATATCAACTAAAAATATGCATGCCAATCAATAAGCCCAGGGTAAGTGGAGGAGCTGCACAGATCCTGAACTCCACAAATGCCCTTTATTAAGGAGCAGACAGAATAAAGCTGCTGTTGAAAGAAACCAAGAAGTCCTGTTTGCACATTTCCACAGACGTTCTTAACCCACTCTGGATTAACAGATTACAATTTCAGTTTCTAGTTAAACTGGTTGGAATTTACCCCAAAAGATTAGCAGCTGTAATCAAACTTAAAGTATTGAGTCAATACATAAATTCATAACTTTCATCATAGTCGTGAAAATATGTTTTTTCCTATGTTACCAATGCCAATAAAACTCACTGAAGTCTGTGTTTGTAAAAAAAAAAAAAAAAAAAGCTGAATCTCTACAGTGTGATCAGATGGAGTTAAACGGGAACTGGGAGGATAAGAGCGACCGGATCTAAACAAACAGGAGAAGTGCTGCAACACAATGGGGTCATAGTCCGTTTTCAGGAACAAAGCGAATCCTCCCACTTAGGCCGAAAGACCGACACTAAACCGACAGAGCAGCAGCCAAGAAACACATTATTATAATCCAAAAGGTGTCTTTTCTCTCAACTTTCACCAAACTAACGGGTTTATCTCTGAAGATGTAGTTGCTCCCTTCAGTCATTGCATCAAACTACTAAATATTTCAGATCAAGCGAGACAAATTAGGTGGAGTAATAATTCACTTGTTGCACAGAGCAAAAAAAAAAAAAAGCAGAACTTTGCAAAACCGAAAGCAGAACAGAAAACGAAAACCATAGTTTTGTCAGAGAGGGACAGGACTTTCTTTCTCTAGCCTTTTATCACACACACCTGTAGCATTCCTGCCTCTGTTTACCTCTGTCACGCTCGTCTGACATCCTCCGTCTGTAAATACGTGACATCACCACAGGAGGAGTCTGGGCTTTTCTGGGCCCAGACTAAACACACGGATTTAGCTACAATTTAGCTGAATATTGCAATATTATAATTATTATTTCTGTATAAAAACAATAAAAACAGAATGTGGGTCAGGGCTCATTTGGAGGCACTTTCTGCATTCAGCCAATTTTAATGGAGCAATTAAAAGACTTGAGCGCACCAACAAGTACTTTACAGTACACGTCTAGTTAACATGACAACAGAAGGAAACCATGGAAAAGATGGTCACTTTGTGTTGCATCAAATATTTTTGTAAGTAGATTTTGATTTAAAAGTCATAGTTTTGTCCTAATTTACATTTGAATTGTGGTCTTGTGGGCCCTCATGCCTCACTTTGAGAACACTTCCTTTAAACACTCGTCTCATCTGGAGTGAATACATTAATAAGCTCCATTATGACTTGTTTTTTATTTATGTTAGTATTTATTTCTCTGCGCCTCCTGGCTTGCAGCCTGCTCCTCTGTATGTGGCTTCCTGTTGAATGGAGGGGGAAGTCTATTCGAGCCACACCTTTCCTCTTGGCATTCCTGCACTAATGAGACCAACTGGGCCCGTGAAAAAGCACAACAATGTGCTTTAAAGTGCGGCTCACACCTTTCCTCTGGTGCAAACAGAAACAGACACTTCAAATTATTTCTAAATGAACCTTCTGGGATTAATGGACTCATAAATCATACACATAGCTTTGCCTCTGAACACTATTTACACCCAAATAGTGTTATCCACAGGAAAATTTTATTTTTATCAATCTGATAATCTTCTAACAATGAAAAATGTTAAGTAGAATACAGTATTCTACTTTTATAACAAGTAAAACTACGTCCATCCAGATTTTACTGAAAAGCCAACTTTGCTGCACCCAAATCCGCTGTTATCTAATTTATTAAACTTGGCTAAATATAGCAAGTGTTTTGAAAGAAAGTGACCCGAATACTGTAGTTTTAACAAAGTAAATTCATTCAACTGATCCCATAAGAATGTGAAAACTGGATGCCTTCTTTTAACACAAAAAACAAGTTTTGGGTCTATGATGAATAACATCCCTTTCCAACAAAACCACATAAAACAAACTAGTCTTTATTTTATTTTACATGAGTCCTTTTGATTCTACAATTTTGGTCCATGTGAGAAAAAGTTTGGTCTAGAGGTTCTCAAAGATATTATAGTAATGTTAGGAATCTGAAGCATGTTAAATGCTTCAAACTTTTATACGTTACTGTAAGTAAATCTTCAGCGTGAGAATTATTTGTTTTATCAGGATTTTTCTGACATTTTTCTCTAATGCCACTAAATTTTTTAAAACATCCCAAAAAAAATTTCAGTCTGGTTCAGCTGGAGTCAAATTAGACATGATGCAGAATCGGATCTTCAGAAAGCTAATTGTAGAAAGTAGGGCTGAAATGATTAATCAAGTTAATCACAATTAATCCTTTACTGAAATAATCAACTAGTTTTGTAATTGATTAATTA